ACCATCGTTCAAATATCTGATATTCGGCGAACCGTTGGTCCGATCGTTTGCGCCATAAGACTTTTTGTTAGAACTCGTCGAGAACTGCCTAGAACTCCAATCAGAACTACTCGGAACTCTGAAAAATTTTTCGACCTCTGGACTTAGAAATTTTTCGATCGACGTTCAAATATCTGATATTTAGCGAACCGTTGGTCCGATCGTTTTGCGCCATAAGAATTTTTGTTAGAACTCTATCGTTAGAAATTAGAACGGTTCGCCGAATATCAGATATTTGAACGATGGTCGAATAATTTCTACATGATATATTTTATTACTCTTGTATCTTTTTATTTAGTTGTTTGATTTTATTTTATTTCCATGATGTCCACTTAATGACAAACACAGGAAATCCTGGGTCACAATGAAGATGCCTTCAGGGATACTTTAAACCATTGGTACCTCGTGAGCGCTCATGTAATCGAGACAGGTTACAGAGAGGAGAAGTTTACGTCGTTGAGCTATGCCGGTTTCCTGCCGGGTTACACAATGGGCTACAATCATCACGGTTTTGTTTACAGTACCAACACCCTCTGCGCTGCAGTCCTGCGATCCGGCAAGACTCGTGAGTTTTATTATATTTTTTCATTGAGTACCAAGTATCTTCACAATTTAATCGTTAGTTCTTTGAAATGTAAACTTATTGAGGGAAAAATTGTATCGATGAACTGTTCTTCTCGTTATATAGCACGGTCTTTTCTGACGAGAGCTCTGCTGGGCGTGGAGAATTTTGTGCAAGCACAACAGACGCTGAGGAACGAGGGTTGTGGCGCAGCGGACGGTTTCTCGGTGAACATGACGTTCCTTGCGCAGGAAGGCGACCGGATGTTTCACAACGCCGAAGTGGGTCCGGTTGAGTTGGACTCCAATCGATCACGGCTCAACATTCTGACTGTCAGTCCGGGCGTGAATACGTCGCATTGCAACACGTACATACCCATATTGCACATAAGTTTACATGCATAAGACAGAGCAGTTTTTATATAATGTATACCTCGGTTTCAGATATCTACGTTTAAAGGTGGCGGAAGTGGACGAAAGTATTCTAGAGGGCAGTATCAGGAGAATGGAAGCGATTTCGAAGCATCCGCCAGTGAAATGTCGTCAAGATGTAATTGATATACTTAGCGATCAAACGGGCGAGAATTATAGGATCTATCGAGAATTTGGCGGTGACGAAAAAGTAAAAACGATCGCCACTGGTATGTCAACATGAAAAAATATCGAATATTTGTGTTCTCTTTTACTTAGTTTTTCTTTTTATTTTCCTTCAGCTAAAATTAACAACGTGTCTACTGATTAATATGAATAAGTTTTGTCTGAACCATTTTTTGATTTGCCTAATACTTTTTAAGAATTTCCTGTTGTTATATCCAGAAATGGAAACTAATTAAAATCCCAGCACACGTTTTCTTGATGAATCACAACTTGCTTACAAGTAGAATCATGAGATTAACGTATGACTATTCTGAATACAAGGAAAAGAATACACGAGAAGAAATTGCGCAAGATTTCGCAAGAACTATTTACAAATCTACGGCTTATTTATTTTAGGTATCTTTGACTGCATTGAGCGTACATGGTCCATCTATACAGATATCCCGCAGGTCAACGAGCCGATTCTGATAATACCTATGCAACTTCGAGACTTTGCGACTCCGCAACACGGCAAAACAAAAAAATAACGTTTTTTCTGTCTCTTATATCATGATTAAATAAGCTATTGAATTAAACCTATTTGTGACACACTAACTTGGTCATTATGGTAAAATACAATGTAGTTGCTCCTGATTCACAACAACTCAGAGAAGTAAAAAAACGTTGAAGATAATTTATCCGTCGTTTAATGGTGCGGATATATTATTCTATTTGTATAAGAAGCATAGTTCAACAATTAAGAGAATTATAACCCGAATTACAACACTGGGGTCCAAATTAATTTTCAGAGATAATTACATGAATAAAATAAAAGAATAAGAATAATTTGTCCACAACTAGTTAATTTATTAAAATTTAGTACACCGTGTAAATTTCTAACTTAATTTAATAAAACTTCGTGGATGTAAGATTCACAAATAAAGTTTCCTGCCAGTTGGGTCGACAAAAAACACTTTAGATAATGTTAACTATTCACTGGCGACATAAATCTCTTATCTCCGTTAATTTAATAACTTTTAACTTTTAATTTACTTTTTTTCAAGTTAGCCATGCCATAAACAAAGGCGTCGCGGAAATCTGCACACCTGCCTATATTGGTAGTTCCTGTGTTCCAAAGTTTACTGCGTTTAAAATGTTCAGTATACATGGTCGATTCAGAAAGTATCGGGACTGATTTTTTCTAGTCAAAGAGAAGGGGTGGGAAATGGTCTCCATGGGCAGGGACGTTGGTGGGGAATGTCAGGTATACGACGCGACCCAGCTCAGTTGCCGCTGGTTGCCGCTGAGGCTTTGCAGAGTGTGGGGCACGCCTGGAGTGAGCAGTTGTTTTGTGGTGTCGTCAGGAATCAAGATTCAGCGCACGATTGATCAGCGGTACGCGACTAAGTTTTTGGTGAAACTGAAACACTAAGACTGGTCAATCAGAGTCCAAAAGACAAGAGCCTTAGCACCGGATTTTTTAGTTTTTTGTTTTTCAGAAATTTCAAATGTCTCAGATTTTTCAGAAAAACTCCGGTGCTAATACTCTTACCTTTTGGGCTCTGATCGACGTCTTAGTGTTTCAGTTTCTCCCAAAACTTGATCGAATACCGCTGTTCAATCGTGCGCCACATGTTGATTTCTGACGACACCACAAAACAACTACTCACTCCAGGCATGATCCACACTCTGCAAAGGTTCAGAGGCAATATTGAGCCTGGTCGCGTCGTATACCTGACATTCCCCACCAACGTCCCTACCCATGGAGACCTGCCCCACCCCTTCCCCATGACTAGAAAAAATCAGTCCCGATACTTTCTGGACCGACCATGTACGTTACGAGCACTATAGATCTTCAGCGCTGACAATAAATTTTGGAACACAACCATTATATGTATGGAGCTTTAGTTCGCGAACTCATAAGAATTTGTTCACATAAGAAACGAGCCATATTCCGTGTAGTATGATTCATTGTTTAAACGCTAGTCGTCAAATTCGACGCAATTTATGTGATCGCGAGTCTCTGACATTTTGTGTAAAAATGAAACGAATTTCAATTTCAACTTTTTAATTTCTTTTTATTGTTAACTTAACTTTTGATGCAATTAATTTTATTACGGGTTAACTTGAACCTTAATTAAGTTAAACTTTCAAAGCTCTCTCTCTGTTAACTTTAACTTAATTTAGTTTTAAAAAAAGACACCTTACCTAACCCTGGTCATAACTGATTATCTCATTCTCTTGGGCATTTTAACTTACTGCACGCAGTTACGTAATGCAAAATCCACGCGTAGGATAAGGAAAACAAAAGCACATAACTTACTCACATTTTTACAACGCGAGCAGCAAGATCTTTAAACTGTCGTAACCTTTTGTTGGAAGCCATGCAAAATGGACGATAATTGATTTAACTCATAGAAAGACAAGAATTTGGAAGCCGCACAAGTTCCAATGGATCATGAGATAACTTACAGCTCGGACTTTGCACCAATGCCATTGTAATTACGAAAATATAAGTATATAATATAACATTGAACTTTCCTAGCGGTCCAGATAAAACTTTACGAATATTGAATCCTGTCCATGAATCGGTTGGAGACTGTTTAGTTTAAATAGATTGTCTTTATTTATACTACAAGTTATTGATATATTTATAAATTAATGGGGATTTTGTTTATTTTTCATCTCGAGTACATTTTGTTAAATCCTTAAGGTTTCTCCATGCGTAACAAAACTATCTGAGCTACATAATTATTTCTGTAATAGTCATGTATATTTTCTCTCATGGATTTATTTCATGAAAATCGTTGATAGTCATTTTGAGGACAATGATGAGCCTCGACACTTCCAGATTTAGCAACAAATATGCGCGTGTTAAGTTTCTGGATGTTCCTTGAATGCGATATTCGCGAGCGAGAACCTTGGATGAGATTTTTCTGCAGAACACGACTTATTCGGATCTAGGTGCATTGTTACAAAAATCTCCGAGACTATAAATGGAGCTGTCTTATTTTCTAGCGTTGCCATTTATGACAATGGTATGTACGTATAAATGATGTATAAATATTTTTCACACGTTTTCCCCCCTCATTATTCATCGTAATTACAAGGTACAAGAACCAAAAGATAAAGGATAAGGTTTAGATGTCTAAGAAGAGATTTATTGTAAATTGAAAGAGTACCAACTTTGTATTATCTTGCAAATTATGTTCTTATCAGAAGAATCTCCACAGAAAATTTTTGCTAGAAAGAGATAGAACCTAATGGTTGTTTAACATAACTGAATGTGATAAGAAAAATATTAATATACGTGTCACTATTTCATTATTATCTCTTAACGATGTGATTTTATTTCATGTAATTTCGTTGTGACAAAACATATGCTCCCATACTCAACTAATTTAATATTTTTTTAAAAAACATTTATTTGATCAGAAAGCGATACATATCTTTAAAGTGGATATCTACGCTTTTTTATTGTTTTTATCGTTTTTGTCTAGGGCCAAATTTGATCCAAACAAAGTGATGACAACTAATATAGGCTTTCATTAAGCTTTTCTTCTCTTCAAGTGCTTGTCAGCGGCCTCCCACCTTCTGGATTTGCCTTCGAAATCATCTCAAGGTAATGGGCGATGACATACGCTACTCTGTGATACGTATAAATATCCTTATTTTGTTTGCATTGTCAGTTTAGTCATGGTAAGTGAGCGCCGTTCGTGCAGAGTTATGTATGTGAACGTAAAGCGATAATGTAGCGCTATAAAAGCCAGATAAGAGACATACGTGAGTCTTCCTACTCGCGAAGACTGCGAAAGCTATCAGTCGTGTGTCGATCGTTACCGGCACGTGCAGTTGTTAGATAAGAGATATCGGATCTGCAAGTGGTGACGCGTTTAATATCGCGATCGTGCTCCATTCGCAATTTTCTCTATCCGTGATCTCTCATTGACGCGGTGTGCCGAAAAAATCAGGTAAGTGCGTGTCATTGAATTTACCTTCTTCCGTTCCTCTTCTCTACTATTCTTTTTTATAAGAATCGCAAATAGAATTACCATGTGCTTTATTATTTCCACAAAATTGGATACATGTATGTCGAAGTTACGTGAACCGGTAATTTTTGTATTATTGATTCCCTGACGGAAATATTTTGCTGAAGGACTATGACATCCGTGAAAAGTGAAATAGAAGTTATTGAAAAATTACTGAATGTATCTCAAAATTAATCATATTTTCCGTATGAAATTTATAGTGCTATGAAATATGAGAAAAGATAAAGTATACCGTATATATTTTTTTATCAGTTCCGGCACGAAGTATTAAGGCACACGACCTCCATAAACCAGCCTTTACCGTAAATGTAAAATAATTATAAAATTTATTGAATTTAACTAGAAACTATGACACTTTTTAGTGACAAATTTTTTATATAAATTTTTATTTTATATAAATTTGTATATGAATTTTTACTGAAATATTAATAAAATGATAATGTCCACACAGCAAAAAATGTCACAAACATATCTGGGAGATATCTAAATATTATAATATCTATTACAAAAACTATTTAGATATCGCTTGGATATCTGAGAGATGTCTCCAGATTCTAAAAAGTCACGATTGTTTTATTTAAGAAATTATATCTGATTTTATATCAAAAATCCCAGTGCCATTAACTTGACGTCAATTTGATGGTGTCGATGTCGATTTGACATCGTTTCGACATCGATCGACAAGCCATTTCTCACTGGGATTAGATATTTATATTTTAGTGAAATTAGATTGTACGCATTACAGAATAGGCAATGGAATAAATAAAAAATATATTTTTTTTATCAGTTCCGGCACGAAGTATTAAAGAACACGACCTCCATAAACCAGCCTTTACTTTTTTATACTATTGTTGTAAACTCATATTTATCTTTTTCATTTTTTTATCGTACTATTTCTTTTTCTATTATATAAGTTTAGAAAACTTATTTTGAGGAAAGTTAAATAATAAATAATAATTTAAAAACAAAACAAATATGAAAAATAAATATATAAACAATAATTTTTTAAAAGACGTCAGAAATGTGCTATCCTTAAAATATTCAAGATATATTATCTACGATGTCTCAAAGATGACCAGTGAAATAATATCTGATTGAAGTCTCACAATCACATATATTTTGCTGTGTGGGTGAAATTAATTAAGGATGTTCTGGCGCTAACGTTATAACATTGAGAATACGTCGAAAATTTTATAGATTATTTATATTTATTATCTGAATACGCGTACAAAATCTAAAGCCGAATCTCTAATCGTTTCGTGAGTTATTTAACTTTTAATTTTGCATGAGTTCTCATGGAGTAACAGCATAATTTCATTTATATAAACGAAATTAGAAAGAAACAACACTGACAATATTTAGAAACTTTTTGTGTGTAAATAAAATACCGAGAAACGTTTTCGAAAAAAGTTCATATCGCAAAATTCTGAAAACGAGTTATGATGCACACATCGACTGTCAACTTACAGTTGTTTCCAGATGAAATTCACATCCAAAAGATTCTTGCCGAAAATCACAAAATTTACAAAATATGCAAATATATATTATTTTGCAGTGCAAAATATCATGTTAACTAGCCTTTTAAACGATATGAACACATGTAGTGCATATCTTAAACATTAAAAATTTAGAATTTCATCAATTTTAAATTCAAGTAACTCTTGTCTGGGTTTGTATAGCCAGAACATCCTTACGAAAGATTTTCAAATATATTTCAACAAAATTTTATTATATTTTCAGTAAGATATTTCAGTATTTACTTGAAGTTTTTAAGTAACCCAGTGAGAAATGATTCGTCGATCGATGTCGAAACGACGTCGAATCGACATCGACACCGTCGAATTGATGTCGATTCGACATCATTTCGACGTCGATCGACGAATCATTTCTCGCTGGGAAGTGTATAACATCAGGTGTTTTTTCCATCGAACTTCTCATTAATAGAAATCAGTAAGAAACCAGTCGCATAAAACTGAAACCAGATTGTCAAAGTTGTCATTTCAAAGAAAGAGGCAAACATGACGCAGGTAGATGTGAAATACTTCGCAGCGAGATGAATACGGGCATTAATTGATTTAGTAGCTCAATCGATACGTCAAATATGTGAATATAATTACACACATACGCGCACGCGTTTTTCTAGTTTCTAGTACATGCACTAAATAAATGGCACATGTTACGAAACATTTTTATCACTTATGTAGTAAAACAGTATGTAATGTATACTGCATAAAATTGCATTGCAAATGAAGGCACCTGTTACGAAACATTTGCAACGTGATAAAGGCATCTGTTATGCAACATTTGTATCATTCTTATATAGTGCGGTTTTTTTATTTAAATATTTGCCACGTGCGAGATGACTAATGTATGATACATTACGATCATTTCCCGTTTCGAATACTGATTTAACTTGCCGTTCTATCTCATCTTATCCCAGTTGAAATAATGTTTTGTAAAGTGCAATATTCTGTGCCATATCCAGGGCAAATAATAGAAAAAAGGAAGAAGAAGAAATAGCATCTTTATTCTTCACGACAGAGACATGGCAACTACTGAAACGTGCAAGACTAAGTCGACCAAGAGTATAGGTCGCAGAAATGTCATTCCCATAATCCATGTACGAGGAACACACTACGATATCGGCTTGGACATTGTAAGGATCAGACAATATTTTATCTAATAAAGAGATGATAATGTATATTTGACGACGATATAGATTTTGTGAATGCACGATGCGTTCTCCAAAGCAAGCGTTTTGCCTCTCCTTAAGATTTTTTAGAGTTCGAGAATCACAAGCGTTTGATTCCATTTTTTAAGTGTGAATAACAGTTATTTCTATATACATATAATAATTGTCTTACTTTAATATTTAGAATAATAAGTCATTTTAGTGTAATAATTATCGTATTTTAATTCAGCAAATAGATATTTTTATTCACTTGATTTCCTTCGATAAGTCTATCATTTTGAGTGATATCAGTCAAGCACGTTCTTATTATAAATATTATTTTCGTTTTTTTTGCATTCTTTAAATAAAAAGAAGGTGTTTATGAGAAACACATACTTGTTAGCGACCGATGTAATTTATAGTGACACTTGCGTTTGCAAAGCGCACATGTAAATTATGCTCGCCACAGCTTGCGACACAGTTATCTCGTATCTAATCCGGAGGAACGAACTTGGATATATCACACGCGATTTAAGAAGGTGCATAACTAATCTGATCGGTGCAAGTGTTAGGCGATGTGACATGCCTGTAGTAAGAAAAGGAGAACGGTCATTGGTGTGACATTTATTCGGATTAAATTCTTGTTGTTCTACATAAAGTTATCACGCGGCATTGGTCAATGTATCGCGTCGTGTGCGTTTGATTAATTTTTACATTCACAAAATACATTCCCTAAGTTTTCTGTTCTTTTTTTCTGCATTAGGGACGTACTTTCGCCAAAATGATCCAAGATTTTGTGGACGTCTATCCACCGCTGAACGAGATCTACTTGCCGCTGTTCGCGACTGAGCAGGGCAAGAAGGTTTACAATGAAACTCTTGACACAGTTAAGAAACAATTTCCGCAGTACTTGAAGGAAATCGAGGGAACGGCGGATGGTGCAAATGTGCCGTTCCACAAGGTACAAAAAATTTTATACAAAAAGGAATGGAAGAATGTTAATTATATCATCAAAGATATAAATAATTAATTATTAATAGGAAAGACTGATAGAGATATCAAAATTTATTATTTCTCCCATCTTTAATAAAAAAAAACCTTTAATAATCAAATCAAGTCTTTCTTGAGCTATGCAAATTTCTCTCAGTTTTCTTACGCACCAGGATAAATAGTATTGAAATAATAAAATGAAAATAACCGAATAAAAATTAAATATTTTGATAAGAATTTTGGTTTGAAGGGTTTTGAATTAAACTAAGGCATGATACGTGATTGTTTTAGCTGTTTCTAATGCATCTGGACGACATTATTACGACCGTTACCGGAAAACAAACAAATGCACTTCCAGTCGGTTGTACATCTATTATCTGCAACCAACCGGGACATGTAAGAGTGATAATAAGTCAAATTAAATTTTAGCATGTCTCATTACATACAATAAGTACTCTTTCTAAGGTGAGATATCGCGAAATTTAATCTAACGTTTCGTGTTATCTAAACATAACATGGAGATATATGGCAAACAACAGTGATGATTACAAATGATATTGTGCCAGATAACAAATGATAAAGTAAATGGAGAAATTCCAACTTTTTCGCGGAATAAATTCAGCCGGCGTATACTTTATTTTTCTTTGATATGTGATACAAAAATTGGCAATTATAGTAATTATGTTATATTTTGATGCATGTTTTTAAATTGCTATTGTGAAACGCGAAAGTTAGAAAAATATTATAAATATGGCCGGATAACACCAACTTCTTTTTCTATGAAAACTAATAATAATAATAATATCGTAATAAAAAGAGAATCACTTTAATTCAACTTTCTGCTGCGTATCTCTTTGGAAAATCACGATTATTGTCTTACGTAACTGAATACGAAACTGCAGATATTATCTCTGTGTGACATTATCATGTCGATAAAATATTCGCAAAGAAATCGTCAATATTTCCATATGATTACAAGTCCAAAGTTCATATACATAGCAAAATGTATACTCTACTTTTGTCTATATGATTATGCAGGATGGTGCACGTAAAACTATCATAAAACATAGTTTTACATAATAAATGATAAAAACGCATTGTCTAATTGAATACGGTACTGCGTCTAAAAGCGTAGAGGATTATGTATCAAATGGAATAGAAGTTTTTGATGGTTGTGATTCACTGAACTCATAGGTGCATGTGCAACATTATACGAAATATAACTTTAAATATATACTTTGCGTTTGGGACCGGTTTTTCTGCCGCTTTGTATTCTTTCACTCTATTTATATTATATATGTATAATACTTGATTACATCTCGCATATATTTTATTACTCGTGTGTCTTTTTGCTTATATGTTTAATTTTATTTTGTTTCCATGATGCCCACGTAATGAAATGCACAGGAAATCCTGGGTCACAATGAAGATGCCGTCAAGGATACCTTAAATCATTGGTACCTCGTGAGCGCTCATGTAATCGAGACAGGTTACAGAGAGGAGAAGTTCACATCGTTGAGCTATGCCGGTTTCCTGCCGGGTTACACAATGGGCTACAATCATCACGGTCTTGTTTATAGCATCAACACCCTCAGCGCGGAAGTCCTGCGATCCGGCAAGACTCGTGAGTTTTATCTTTTCATTGGGTACCAAGTATCTTCGCAAGTTAATCGTTAGTTCTTTGAAATGTAAGCTTATTGGGAGCAAATTGCATCGATGAACTGTTCTTCTCGTTATACATAGCACGGTATTTTCTGACGCGAGCTCTGCTGGGCGTGGGGAATTTTGTGCAAGCACAACAGACGCTGAGGAACGAGGGTTACGGCGCAGCGGAGGGCTTCTCGGTGAACATGACGTTCCTTGCGCAGGAAGGCGACCGGATGTTTCACAACGCAGAAGTGGGTCCGGTTGAGGTGGGCGCCAATCGATCACAGCTCAACATTCTGACCGTCAGTCCGGGCGAGAATACATCGCATTGCAACAAGTACGTGCCCACATTGCACATAAATTTACATGCCTAAGACAGAGCATTCCGTTTGCGAGATGACGCATATATTTATCTTTCTTATTTGTTCAAGACCATTCTTTCGCCTACTCCTGTCCCTTTTCAATCCGATAATAGCGCAGTGTAGGCCATTGAAGTAATCGAATAATGTGCATGTGGTCATATACTGCATATTTATGTTTTGTTTTTATATGTATACCTCGGTTTCAGATATCTACGTTTAAAGGTGGCGGAAGTGGAGGGTAGTATTATAGAGAGCAGTATCAGGAGAATGGAAGCGATTTCGAAGCATCCGCCAGTGAAATGTCGCCAAGATGTAATTGATATACTTAGCGATCAAACGGGCGAGGATTATAGAATCTATCAAGAATTTGGCGGTGACGAAAGAATAAAAACGATTGCCACCGGTATGTCTACATGAAAAAATATCGAATATTTATGTTCTTTTTTATTTAGTTTTCTGTTCTTCTTTTCCTTCGGTTAAAATTGATAACATGTGATCATACTAGCAGGATCATCCAACAAAAGTACGTATACAGAGTGGCTCCTTTTAATCAATCCGGTTAAATATCTTAAAACATATATCTCACAAAGTATTAGTCAAATAATAATTTTTTAGACAAAAATTATTCATATTAATTAGTAGAATAAAAGAGTATAATAAACAGTAGAGGGTTCCATTAAAAAAATTTAAGATGACCTTTACGTTACTCGAAACCCTACAACTTTTGTCTAAAAAGTTTTCTTCTGGAACTTACACGTTTTGAGATATGTGAGTGGGCTGATTAAAAGGAGCCACCCTGTATATAGACTATGATGTATGTGTATACATCGATATATATTTACTAGAAACAAAAAGCATACGAGCGCGAGAAAGATTACATCATATTTATTTAAGAATTTCCTGTTTTTATATTCAGAAATGGAAACTGATTAAAATCTCAGTACACGTTTTTTTGATGAATCACAACTTGCTTAGTAGAATCACGAGATTAACGTATGACTATTCTGACTGCAAGTAAAAGAATACGTGAGAAAAAATTGCGCAAGATTTCGCAAGAACTATTTACAAATCTACGGCTTATTTATTTCAGGTATCTTCGACTGCAGTGAGCGTACATGGTCCATCTATACTGATATCCCGCAGGTCAACGAGCCGATTCTGATAATACCTATGCAACTTCAAGACTTTGCGGCTCCGCAATACGGCAAAACAACAAAATAACATCTTTTCGTCTCTTATGTCACGATTGAATAAGCTATTAAATTAAACCTATTTTTGACACACTAACTTGGTCATCATGGTAAAATACAATAATGTAGTTGCTAGAGCAGCTATGATTAATTTACAAGTCAGAGAATTAAAAACTGAAGATAAATTATCCATCGTTTAATGATGTGGACATATTAGTCTATTTGTATAACATAGTTCGACAATTAAGAGAATTATTATAACCCGAATTACACTGGGATCCGAGTTGATTTTCAGAAATGATTACACGAATAAAATAAAAGAATAAGAATAATTTGTCCATAACTGGCTAATTTATTAAAATTTAGTGCACTACTTTTGTTTTGACCAATTTCTGGTCCTTTTCAAGTAAACTAAATTAATGATATAAGTGTTTAACTGTAAGTGTCACAATTAATTTACAGTTCACTTGAAAAGGACCAGAAGTATTGGTCGACACGTTGTGTGCCAAATTTTAATAAATTAGCCAGTTGTGGTAAAAAAATTATTCTTATTTATTTATCACTGGCAAGTACAGAATAAATTTTTGTATGATTTATTATACACCTGCGTCCCAAACAATGATGTTTCTATGCAAAGACAGCTTTTTCCAATCAGCCACCAAACAATTAGGATATGAATGCAAATTTCTATTAAAATCTTGGATAAATACTAGTATCAAGATCTGCAAATCACACCAAGAACTTATTTTCCTATTACGCTGCAGAAGACGTGTTACTTCCATATGCATCAAAAACATAAGACTCAAGCTCTTCTTTCATAGTAAAAGCGCAAATTATACTTTTAATAATTTTATAAAACGTAGTTAACTAACTTTATTAATGCAAAGGTGATGGAAAATTACGTCTCGCATTCCGCAGACGTCTACGTTGGTATGCTTTTATCATGAAACTTCTATACGACAATGGAATACAAAGTGAAATGCTGAAATATAAACTATAAGTATAACTGCTATATAAAAATTTGCTGATAACCAAACTTGTAAGTACTCTTTTTGCTGACAAAATTTGTAGTAGATTGTTCTCGATATACTTGGTTGTCTATATCTTTTATTATAACTTTACACTTTTCTGGTTATAAATGAAATGATGCTTCTCTTTTAGAATTAAATTTTTATCCGATAAGAACAGACCAACTTGTAAAGACCCTCATCCACCACCCCCGCCGAATTCTTATCGGCGGTACTCTTTTTCTTTGCAATAAAATTGTGTTTTTACATTTTTATAACTTAATTAATTTTCATAAATGCAAACGAAAATCTATCGATTAACCGCGACGCGATTTTCTATGGGTTTAACTTTGAGTTTAACGCGCCCGCGGGATTTAATAGGGGTTTTACTCTCGCACATATGCGAGAATACATGTACATAGAAACATAACCCACCCGAATTGTAACAAATGAAAAGAAGTCGAAGTATATTTCGCACAACACCTCACTCCATCAGAGTGGCCAATATTGACCACTTGCCTCGTCGTATTCAGTCTTCCTTCGTCGGGCCAGATTGGACATACCTTTCGTTGCTCCTGGCCATATAGTCCGGTCATTTTGACCAGAGATCAGGAAGGAAGGAAACTCCTTCCATAGTCGATTATCGTCACCGACAAATATTTCGTACGGTTCGAATATACGAGTGTCGATCGTATCGGGAAATGCACGACAACGAGAAGTTAATTAAAGAAAAATATTAATTGAAAAACTTTACTGTATGTACGAATCAAATTTATTTTTACTTCCGTTATTTAGTCAAAAATATTGACCATCTCTTCGTAACTTGAACTTTAAATTCGAAATTCAAGTAGATATAGAAAAAAATTTACTTCGCGTCATATTTATTATTTTAATTACATTTCGCGATAAATAAAAATTTATACTATGGATGACATTAAATAATTAATAACTCTTTGAAAATTTGCTGAAAAATCCGATCGCGAAGACCGACCGCGAAAATACGAAGATGCGTGTGTAACTATGCATGTATTCATGCGAGACGCATCTTGAAAGTGTATCGCGAGATACACATACAGAATAAATGACGTGAGACCTACACACAGAAAAATATATACTACCTGCAAGAAAATATTATTTGTTCCAAGTATTTGATAAGTTTATATATCCGCAAATCTATCATGATGTCGTCGCAAGTGTTATATTTACTCAAAACATATTCTGGTTCTTATAAGTCTAGTACTTCAAACAAGAATACATAGAATTATTTGGAGCAAAACAATTTTGTTTCTTCTGATTTTATTAAAAGAAGCATACGGAATTATTCAATAAATTTTATAATTTTCTTCAAAGAAGAATAAATTCTTTCTTTTAGTATAAGATGGCAAGCTTTTCTAAGACTAGTAACAAGTATATCTCAAAATTATTATTAAGAAAATATTCTTTGTTGAAGCAAACGATTACTTAAACGGAATAAAATAAACTGAATTACTTTTCTTGACTGTACAATAATAATTTTCTGTGTGTAGAAACAAAAGAAACTTTCTGTACGATAGACCGACCGACAATTGAATATTCTAGTTAATCAATAATTTCAAATAATGTACGAAAATAACATTAAGTTTCAGCGTTCTCAACAAAATGTTAAAATCTCACGTCAATTATTTTATATAAATTTATATAAAAGTGCTAATGAAAAATGGATAGACTACAAGAGAAATAATCGGCATATTTTGCATGAAAATATGTGATGTGCTGCAACGAGACATACAACCCTTCACAGTTAAAATCGCGATCACTCTCTTTCGTTAGATAAAATATATAAAAATATATACGAAATTATGTTGTACTCTATCCATTTTTAAGGCAACGGATCTACGAGATAGACTAATTTATGATCTACAATCTACCATCTACGAAATGTAGATTCGTTGCCTCATTAAAAAAATTTTTTTACTCACCATCCGACGCGCAGCAGCGGAGTTTAACTACGTTGCGTCTGTAACAAAAAAAATAAGATTTACATTAAAATAGTGTTCAAGAAAACTAATAATAGTGCAAGGTATAATTCATATGCGTATCAAACTTTTAATTCGGCTTGATATGTTTACATGATTATTGCGCGAAAGGTGTTCCGTAAAAGGCGAGATCTTCACGAGAATAAACTTTTATAAAATCTCAAATTACTTCTCGTCCTTTAAGTATTATTTCGAATTTATGAAATTATGAAATAAAACGACGTAGAAAATTGCATGACGACCGATGGCCGGCATGCAATTTTCTACATTGGTCAATCAATTACTGGCGCTAAATGATTCTTTACGAAATAAAACGACTCAACAATAAACCGGGGAAAAGATTAATTTGACACAAAATGAAAAATAACATTTACCATAAAGTTGCTCCGCCGGCGCCCGATGCCTCTCCAAGGCCTGCTCCTCCTCTCAGATTGTCCTCTGGCACACTCGCGAAAACACAAAAATCGTTCGCGCGATTTTACACACTCCGGTAATGAAGCCCATGTGAGGGTATTCTGTTCCGTCAAGTTCGCCTACACTTCGAGTCGACGAGTAAGTTGAGACACACGGTATCTCAGGCACTTAGCGTAAGACGCTGCATGCATAGATTCTTATTGCGAGCCTCAAAAACTGCCAAATCTCCGTGTGACATTTAACGAATACCTGTTCCTCAGATGGGCTCTGAAAAGTCTTTGGTTCGATTAATTACACGGCACTCCCGAACGCGACGAGAAAGAAACTTTATGTTATACGCGCACTTCCGACGATTCATGCATTACTTTGCGCTTTCGATCTGAAAGTGTTAAAGTGTTTAAGTCGCACCGGCGAAAATTTTGAAGCACGACGTGAGAGAGATTCATCCGAGTTTGATTATTAAAAAGATATTATCACCAATAATTTACGTATGCAAATTCCCTTGTCGTATTTTGCTCTTCAACTCAGGCGCGATATTCACCATCGACAAATCGCCGTAGAAATCGACGATACGTTCACGGATCACACAAGCACTTAAACGCGATTGACAAACGTCAATAACTCGCGTGCGAGACGATCGCGTTGCGTAGGAAATGATCGCGTTACGAGGAGCGACACGACACTCGCGGAACGCACGCCTCGCTCGACCACGCTCGACTGAGCCTCGTCTTCTTCTTCTTCTCTGGTTATTGGCTCCCGGCTCACAGACACTGAGCCGACACGGCCACGTCGAACCAATAGACGGTATTGCTTGGAATGTAGTGAATTGATTGAACGATGCAATGACCCGGTAACCGGGCCACACTCGGGATGATGCAATCCCGCAGGATCAAAAACTTATCTTCCGTCGGAAGACGTGCGAACCGCTTGACGGCCCAGACGGAACTGACTGAGCCTCGTCGAAATGTTCGGCACAATAGATTGTTTTCGACCGAGGCGTTCGTGCTACGTCATTTCTTGGAAATCCACGGCGCTCGGTTAACGGCCGAGTTGTTTACCGTCGATTTCTTGGAATCCGTGCTCGGCGTACGGCGCTCGGCGAAAAAACAAGGTGACGCCGCGCGCGGGATTCCTCGCGCGGTTTGACAGTCGAATAAATCGATTATACTCGCGCCGCTCTGCATATCGTATTATTCTTTTTCGATACGCGTTCGCGACGAAGTACGGGAAGAAACCGCGATCGCTCCCCGCGAATAATTGGCGAACAATGTCATCGCGCGATCGCTGAATCCCCGGCGATTCGCCATCGGTGCTCGGTTACCGAGAGTAAAATTATACTTTTTCACTGCGATAATTACGAACGATAGCTGCTTCTTTGAAGGACGCTCGTGGCCGGACGCATCTCGTATCGTCCCGTTGAGTCTCCCGTCGCTTCGAGTTTAATTTGTTGGCTGTTGCTAGATTGAAAGCGCGAAATGATACACGAATTAATTCACGGAATATTGAATCACCCTCCTGTACGTATGTCGTTGGTCTAGTAAGATACAGAAATATGTGGAACGAAAACGGACGTAGTAGACGTCTACTGTGTCAGAGGGCGCATTTGTTTCTAAAGCCTCGTCTACATAGAAGTCGTAAAGTCGTAGTCGTAAGAATAGTCGACTATGATTGGTCAATTCTTATGTGTCTGACGGAATTGACCAATCGCAGTCGATTATTCTTACGACTACGACCATTGTAGACAGAACCGAGAATCATTGTAGCGGAGGCTTGATTGGTCAATTCTTATGTGCCTGACGGAATTGACCAATCGCAGTCGATTATTCTTACGACTACGACTCTACGACTCGCATTGTAGACCACGCATTTCCCTCTCTGCTTGCACCGTGCACTACGATATGTGTGTTTGTATCATTAAGGCGGTGTGACAGGTTTTCTAACCTTAAAGCACGTGTACCTTGGCGATAATCTCTGCTTTTATAGTTGCGAGCGGCGGCGACTTTTGTTTTTGTAAATTTTCCATTTTTATATACGAAACCACATCCATCAAGTAAATTGTAAATTGAGTGAAAATTTAAGTGAAATTCCTTAAATTAAGTATTTACTGTAAAATGTGCTGCAATTAACTGCTGTATTCTATAAGTTTTCGTTCGATTTTACACAGTCGATTTTTTGTTTTACTAGAATTAAACGTAAGCGAGACATAGCGATTCGAAGTCGACAAGAAAAATGAGTTTTAAAACCACCAAGGAAATTATCGAAGACGGCGATATCGTTGTTTTATATTTAAATCCGAGCAACATGCACTCGTTGGAAGTGAAAGAGAAAATTTTTAACAAGAAAGGCGAGCTCATAGACAATATGTTCCACACTACGTATGGTGCGTTAAGAGTCGTGTCGCTCATCGGACAAAAGTACGGCTCCAAAGTGAAGTTGAGTCGAGGCTGGGCATACGTGTTGCAGCCAACGCCAGAGCTCTGGACGTTGACGCTGCCGCATAGAACTCAAATTATCTATAGTCCAGATATAAGTCTCATTATACATTTAATGGAGCTCCGGCCGGGAAGTACAGTTATAGAGACAGGTATATTGTAGTCTTATTTAATACCAAGTAGACAACTTCATCCTTTTCAATCTATTTTCATCTATTTTAGGCACCGGCAGCGGCTCTTTGTCTCACTCGTTAATTCGAGCGATACGTCCAAGTGGTCATTTGTATACCTTTGATTTTCACGAACAACGTGTATCTATCGCCAGTACGGAATTTAAAAACCACGGCTTGAGCGATTTTGTAACTTTGAAGGAGAGAGACGTCTGCTTGGAAGGATTTGGAGACGAGTTAAGAGACAGAATTGACGCGGTGTTTCTAGATCTTCCACATCCATGGTTAGCTATAGAACACGCCATTGTTGCTTTAAAACAAACAGGTGAAAAACTTTTTTTTAAAATTTCTTATTTGTGATAAATTTTATTCTCTTAGGACATAAATTTTTTAATATCTGTGTAAAGATACATAATTGAAACGTGGAACATTAATATTATACATAAGCATGTTTAAAGATATGATATATACATAAGTACATATGTACGTTGTGTATAATTGTGCAAGGGTTGCATTCGTTATTACAGTACAATGCGTGTAATTTACAATTTTTATTCAATAGGTGGAAAACTCTGTTTCTTCTCTCCTTGCATTGAACAAGTTCAACGCACTTGCGCACAACTGATTTGTAAAGGGTTTATAGAATTACTCACGTACGAATGTTTGCAGAGAGAAATGAATGTTCAATACAAATCTCTACCAGTATTAGATCTGGAGTGTTTGAAATACAAGGTATACGGGAATTTTTATTGTTCAAAATCCGTTATTGCATATGAGATAAGTAAAGCTTGAAAAACATTAGATAATTGTACTTGCATATCTGATATGCATATGTCATCCCAGGCTTGTATACGTCAACGTAAATATCATATTGGCCTTGTTGAAATAATGAAATGCACAAAATGTAGGGTTGTGGTCTATTTAGCCGGTTTTTAATTTTTCTTGTAAAATCTTTTATTCTCTTGTTGAAATTATTAAGAAAAATTATGACCTTTTACAAAAGATATCGAATGAATGAATTTCAAAGACCGACTTGAATCAGATTGAACATTTTATTTATTCCGTTGTAGCAAGCGAACGAAGACATTGTACAAAAGGATGAAAAGGGAAAACAGGAAGAAAAACTTCTTACAGTTACTCACGCTCATTCATTGCCTGGCCATACAGGCTTTATTACAATTGCTGTTCTTCCTCCTAGCTACGCACGTAAATGAAAATTAATTTATAGACATTCAAGCAAAGGAACAAACGACTGAGGCGAAAACGTTAAGGTGCAATGCGCATTAAATATCGACTAATTTAAATGAAACTCGTGAACTACAATAGTTTGACACTCGTCTGCTGTCTCAAATGGAAATTCCACAATTTGTATTAGAGATAGACAGTCCGAATGAATTTCCGAACCATTTTTATCGATTGTGTCGACGTTTTTTTCCGAAATTAAATAGTATGACATCCTACAAAATGTACCATTGGTCGTAAATAAATATGTGGGTGTTGAAACATGAAAGAATGAACTCTGGAATGCTACAAAAAAATTTAATCATTCGTTAGTTATTTTATGTGTCTGGCTTGTTTGGATTCCAACTGAGATAATCAACTCGAGTCGCAGCCTGATACTCTTTCACCAAGTATTCTACAACCTCTCGTGAATTGTCTAGTTCATCAAGATTTTCCTCGAACATTTTTTCTTTGCGAAATTGCTCCAGAAACGCTTCGCGTTTTCGCAATTTATCATACTGTTGTAAGGCTCTATCAAATAGCTAAAACACATATTTATCAATATTTAAACTTGAATACCACAAAGTACACATATAATAGTAAAATTAAATTGTCGATAATAAAATACTCACCGACGATATATTGGTGTGATTAGCTAACATCAAGCCGGAAACGCGATGTGTACTTTGTATATACGGAGATTTTCTTGAAAGGGCTACTTGTATGCTAGCAGGTCCCCAAGGAATAAACTGCGCGAGTTTTCGCTCCCTGATCCTTTGTAAAGATTTGTGTACTTGTGTCGGATCTACCTCACCCTGTTAAAGATACATTAGTTGTTGTATACGTTTTCACACATTTTTCATCCTGATATACTCTGAATAATGTATAAGATGTGAAATGAGATAATATAAAGTAGTCTCACTTTTATTCTAACGTGTTTAAACATAAAATGAGATAGATTATCATGGATCAATTGATTAAAAGCACAATAAACTAAATGGATATGTAGGGAGCTCCTTAAAAAAAAAGAAAAGAAAATTCTTACCTGAATTATATTCAAAATGGATATATAACAATGAGATGCATTTCTGTCTAATGCTGTAGAGACCATCATATTTTTCGGTTGTAGTAATCTTCGCATTACATCCAAAACAGACGTCTTCCTCACGGATGCACCCTGTTTCCAATAACTTTTATGAAAAATGTCCGACTTGCTTTACAATTATTTCTCTTTCTTTTTTCTTTGCAAATGCATCAACATACATTTATATAATGTGCAATTACATATGTTTTCTCTAAATCCATACGTTTCATCGTTCTATGTGTTAAAAGTGTCAACTGTTACACATAGAAAATATTGAAAAGTAAATATCTTGAGACATTTCTTATTCAACACCAACGGAAAATAATGTATTCACTTTTCCATAACGTTATCTTGATTGCATTATTCATGCATTCAAGTAAAACGAGATCAAATAATGTGAAAAGAAAACGCAATTGTATTTTATAAACAGTCAACAATTGCACGTGTGTACAATCTGTGGATACGTGACAGCTACATTTAATAAGTGAAATTGAGCGAATTCAGCGATTACCTTTTCAGCTAAACATAATGTATGTACATTTCTTTTTTCTAACGTGTGCAATTAAATTTTACCCTTGTCAATTATTAGATATACCTCTTGATCCGTTGTCAATGGAGTATATCCAGTCATTAGGAAATGCAAGCGTGGAGTTGGTATAAGTGGTGCGATCAGACCAACCAAATCATTGTTCATGTACGAAGGGTATCTCAGAGTTGTCGTACTGACGGACATTATTGTTGAGACGAGCTTATTAATTTGTGTGAAGCTGGGATTCTGGATGTGCAATCTATCCGAAGCGATTCTGTTGAGAGCAGTATTGTCCAAGACCACCACGCAGTCTGCGCACTGAGTCAGCCTTTTCAGAGTCAACAACGAATTGTACGGCTGTACTACGACGTCGCTGTAACAAAGCGCATTCACGCGTACAACACGCACTGCAATGACGGAGAGTTTCCTCAAGAAACGGACGAGCGTTTACCTGATTTCATCCTGATTTGGAAAAACGCTGTACGTCTCGATTAATTTCTTGGGAAATCTATCGGCGAGAGATTCCAACATGAAAGATCCCATACCGGAGCCCGTACCTCCAGCAATGGAATGACATAAAACGAAACCCTGCGCAAATTCCATGGTTTCAAGAACTCGAGTTATACTTGGGGGAGAAACAGAGAAGCTCTCTCTTTCTTCTTATCACAGATCAGAATCGGATGTTACTAGAGGATAACGTGTAAGAATATATAATTACTTCTAAGCTGTCGCTACCGTCGGCCTCTCTATCCAAAATATCGAAGATTTCCTCCTGTAATTTTTCACCCTGGTGATATCCAGATGCCCAATTGTTTCCGGCTCCGCCGCCATGTTTCGATATATAGACATTTTCCGGATTGTACAGCTTTTAACAGAAAAAAAAGAAAAATGTTTCACGTCCAACGTCTCGAATGGCACAGATGTAATAGTACACGTATACTGTGCATTACCTTCGAGTACGAAGAATTCATGATGGTATGAATTACCCTTGGCTCCAAATCCAACAGTACAGCCCGCGGTATGTAATGTTCGTCATCCGACTGGTAAAAGAAAACGTCCTTCCTATCCATTCCCTCTGTCGCGTAGTCTTCCAAGATTCCTTCCGGGCTAATTCCATGCTCGGCGCAGAGTCTCTTCCAAAATTCGAATCCAACTACGAAGATTAACGCAATTTAATATATTTATAGTCCCGTAACGAGTATCGCAAAAGACGTTGCATAGAAAGCTATACGATGTTTGGAGCTTTCTAGATCTCCGACCAGGATTAGCTCCGAAATGGCTCGAGTTGAAGTAAACCGCGTAATTATCGAGCTTATGTTATTCTTTCGCCGCAATGTACGAATTAATATCGCTCTCTTAAATTTCTAGAAAAATTAAGAGAACGTTACTCTATAACGAGACATAATGCAACTATTTACTTTGATTGCCGCATTGGCCAAGCTGCAGAGTTATCATCTCGCACGGCATTTTGACGTTTAAATGCTTCGCCTCGGGAATCTAAGAGGAAAGAGGAGCAATAAGATTGGCGATTGTAAACAACGGGTACTCCGTCGAGCGCGACGGACTGAGATCTGAGAACTGAGACGAGCACGACGCGCGAGCCGGCGAACCACACGCCAGAGATGCCATCTGGGCACACGGGACTGATGGCGCCACTGGCGCCTCGTCACCATGCCAGAGACCCACTAATCAGAGTCTGGACATGCGGTGTCCGGTGTCTGATTGGTTCGCCATGTTTATGATTTTTCCCACTGAATTTTGAATTGACAATTTTAATCCACTTTTATAGTTTTACAAACGACAGGTTATCGTGATTGATGTTGATTCTTTTTATGCGTATCCCTTTGTCGAGGTGTTATTGCAAATGGTGCTGCACGTTCGCCCATTTTTGCAGCAAACAGCAAACTCGCACTGTTGAATGAGCGCTCAACGATTTCTTAATATGGATGCCTGTGTCCAGCAGAAGTTAGCGCTTGCTAAGCGCTTTGCGTACATTGGATTATACTTTCAGATCTGTGCTGAAATAGAGCTTTTCTTCTAGATCTATCCAATCAGCTTAAGTCCCAGTCTACAATAGAGATTTAAGCCCTAAGCCTTAAGAAATTGACTAATCACAGTCGCGCATTCTACTCATACTTGACCGTGATTGGCCAATTTCTTAAAGCTTAGGGCTTAAATCATCTATTGTAGACTGGGACTTAAGCGCTTATTAAGCGCTAACTTCTGGAGAACACAGCCATTGGCTGGATCTAAAAGTATAACCAATTATACTGAGCGCTCAGCCGCTCACTCAACAGTTGTGCCTGCTGAACGCGGCCATTAGTCCCAGTCTACAATAGAGATTTAAGCCCTAAGCCTTAAGAAATTGACTAATCACAGTCGCGCATTCTACTCATACTTGACCGTGATTGGCCAATTTCTTAAAGCTTAGGGCTTAAATCATCTATTGTAGACTGGGACTTATATCAGAGAGAAGCCTGAGAGATGTCACGGCCCCGTTTTTCGTGATACGCGAATGCGATACGCCCTCTGTGGACATTGAAAACGTGGACATTGAACTACGTAGCCAATTTGCACATTTTGCTAAGTGGGTAACGCAGATTTGCACAATTTTAGCCCCGTCCCGCGCTATGGTTAGATCCCATGCAATGATCTTGTACTTAAAATAATCTTAAGTACAAGAG